ACTTACATATGGTAAAAGAACAAATAATTAAGAAATTACCTTTTTTAGTTTCACTCAGATGGTGCCATGAACAGAGGTAGCAACTTCTCCAGTTTACAGGTTCAACAATGTGACTATTGCAGCCAGGTATACTTTACCAAGATCCAGATCTTCTTCAGGTCTCTGACACCGAACTGAGGACTAAGCTCAGAGAAGTCCACCCATCCTTGTAAGACTAACCTATTCTTGGAGCTAATGATCATTTACCTCGAAGTACATGAGCACATATTCTGAGCCCTGCATCCCTGAGAATATCTTTGCCTCTGCACATGAAGTATATCTTACCCCATGTAAAATTCAGGATGAGGGGGGAAGCAATCCTCAAATGTAACCCCTCACCCTTAATACTGTAAAAATGGATGCCAAACCTGTTCCAACCTGACCATCCCTTCTAATATTTAAGTACTTGGGTGTTCTCTTTCATGCTCACTTGCTCTCCTTCTCTCTCTCTCTTTCTTCTCTCTCTCCCTCTCTCTCTCTCTCTCCTATTTTCTTTAGTTTTACCTTTTTAAATTCTGCTTTTCCAATACTTTGGCTTCTTCTTTGGGACATTTACTTACAAACTGGGCCTCTAGTCTCTGTCCTCTAGACCTAATTTTCTCTCCCACTTGTTTCCTCTCTGCCTTTTGGAACAGCTTCCAAATTTCTCCATATCATCAACCAAGTCCCTTCCTACAGAAGGAATTGTCCTGTTTTATTATTATAATTACATCTTAACTTTTTTTATAAATTTTCTTTCTTGAACTTTCAATCCTCCTGCTCTAGACAACCAAGTGCTGGGAGTCAGTCATACCACCATGACTAGCTATCTTTTTATATCCTGGTGACAATTCCTAAAATACACTTTTTGTTTCCAGTGGCAATCAACTTAAGTTTGTTCTTCCTCCCAACTTTCAGAATACATTCCCTTCTACTTAGTTTGCAAAATGTGTTGGGGTCTCTTGTTCATATTTGCCAACAGAAAGAGTACATAGGTTAATTACCTTTGGTTATATTCTCAATGGGTAGCATGGCCTTCTCAGAGCTTCAACTGGCCAAAAGGACATGCAGAGCCATAATGTAATTGTCAATATTACTGGCAGGCTTTTATCTCATATAGGTTTATGAGGCTGAGATCAGATCATCCCCTAATCCTCATGACCTGATTTTGACCTCATTCTTGGGATCCATAGTAAATACAGACATATAAAACAGTACCATCTATTGGTCATACCAATAGTAAGATTCATTCTACTTCTCAGGACTCAATATCCCCTAACTGCCTCCTATACCCAAACACAAACATACACCCAAAAACTACCATCCCCTCTCTAGTCAAGAATATATTAGAAATCACAGCCTCCACATACAAAGTAAAAGATAGAACAATATTCTACAGAGAGTGCAGCTTGAACTACTCAATTTTCTGACTGAGGCAAACCTTATATTTCTGAAGGAAAGACTGCCTGTGGAGAAAAGACACGACATTCTATCTGGGTCCTAGGTGTTTCCTTTAGAGCCACAGAATAGTTGTAATGTTTCTTTCAAGAGGAAGACTACTGCGGGGTACTGTGGCTTACAACTATAACCCCAGCTACTCAGGAGGGTGAGATCTGAGGATGTAGATTTGAAGCCAGTTCAGTCAGACAAATCCAAGAAATTCTTATTCCAATTTATCAGCAAAAAAACAGAAGTAGAGATGTGACTCAAGTAGTAGAGTGTCAGCCATGAGCAGAAAAAGTTGAGTGAAAGCATAAGGCCTATGGTTCAAGCCAAAAAGAGAAAGAGGAAATTTTAAGTGGTGGACCTTTTTTGCAAGAGGGACTTAAATATCATATCCATCACTCAGTGTTCTTAAGGATAAACAAGCAGAATTTGGAATAAATCTATTAAAAGCACCCTATGCTACCTCACAATGCTCTCAAATGAATACTACAAACTGCAATAACAGTGAATACACTCTGAGTCAACAACTCTATTTACAGAATAGAAAATAGGACATCACCAACCTACCACATATATTCTTTTTCACAGCTCTAGTAACCCCTGATTAATGACCTCCACTTGCAAAGGAGGCTACTTACCTTAACCATGAAATAATGAATGTTATTGATCCAACAAGCTACTGTTATAGAATGTTATTGATTACCCAATCTTTGGTTAAAATGGTCCTCATTTAGCAATTTCACTGTCACAAACACCTGGAGCAAGCACACTCATAATTAAAGAGTTTGGGGGAGTTAGAGTGAGAGGTGATGGACAGAGATCTCAGCATTCTCCCATTTATTCTTGCTTCTGAGCTATTATTTGTGTCAGAAGGGACATTGATTTTCTATAAAAATAAGAAAACAAGAGGCACCAAGGGGCCGCAGAAGGTCAGCCTGGGCTGGAAAAGGAGGGGGGAAGTTTAGCACTCTATCTCTGTCACTTGCCTTCCAAGAGAAGGGAACATTTTCCTTCCTCTGAGATCAGCCTCTAATACATCACCTTAGGAAGGCTCCTACATGTGACTTCAGGCCCAACATCCAACCAATTCACTTACAGAAGAAAAAAACCCTGAACTATATTTAAAGAGAATAATTTTTTAGTGAATAGAGTTATGCACCTAATTAATAGCAGCTAGCTAGTGAGAAAAATTTGAATAAATTTTCTAACAAAAATTAATTTTGCAAGAGTTGTCACATACAAAGAAAAAGATTAAAATAAAAGTTTGATCTTTATGTAGATATTTTTAAAAACTACTGTATCATACCCACTTTTGGTTCTTCAGAAATCATGAGGGATTGGTTGGTAAAGAATTAAAGGAAGAGGAAGTGGCGCTGTGGCTCAAGTGGTAGAACATTAGCCTTGAGCTGAAGAGCTCAGAAACAGCGCCCATGCCCAGAGTTCAAGCCCCATGACCAACAACAACAACAACAAAGAAAAGAATTAAAGAACAGAAACAGAAAACACAAAGACATTCATGTGTTTTTGTTTTGTTTTAAAGAAATCCTATCCACTGACTAGGCTAAGCAATAATCAAATTCCGATCTTTTTTTCTTTTCTTTCCTTCCTTCCTTCCTCTTTTCCTTTTGCTAGTGGTAGGGTTTGAACTCAGGGACTTATATTTGTTCAGCTTACTTGCTTGAGTAAAGCACGACTACTTAAGCCACACCTCCAACCTGGCTTTGTTTGTTGGTGGTGGTGGTCTAGCTTCAAACTGCCATTCTTTAGATCTCAGCCTCTTGAGTAGCTAGGATTACCAACATGAGCCACAAGTATCTGACTCATATATTTTAATATGATTTGTGATTCGGATAATCCTCAAATTACTGATAAAAAGTAAAATTCAACACTGTGATCTGTATGTAAATAAATTAAAATAACCAAGAGGATTCTTGAGAATGCTGATGGAGTAGTTCAAGTGGTAGAGCACATTATGTAACAAGCATAAGGCCAAGGGCCCAAATTCAAAACACACCACAGAGAGAGAAAGAAAGAAAGAGGGAGAGAGAGGATTCTTGAAAGGAATTCCTTTAATACAGAGAGGAAAAAAGGTAGAAAATTTTGCCAGAATCAACTCAAGAGGGAATAATATCCAAATCACAAACTGTTATCTATTTATACTCTACTGATAGCTCCATTTATAAGTTTAATAGTTGAGAACAGGGCTGTGCAAGTACCTCAGTGGTAAAGAACTTGCCTAGCATAAACAAAGTTTAAGGGTTAATCTGTAGCCCTAAGGACTAAAAAGAAAAAAAAGAAAGAAAGAAAAGTGGGTGTGGTATAAACCCAGCACTCGGAAGGCTGAGGCCAATGGAACAAGTGTTCAAAGCCACAGCTAGATGCAGGTGGCTCACACCTGTAATCCTAACTACTCAGGCTGACATCTGAGGATTGCAGTTTGAAGCTAGTCCAGGCAAGAAAGTCTGAGACTCTATCTCCAATTAACCACCAGAAAACAGAAGTGGCTCTGTGGCTCAAAGTGGTAGAGTGCTAGCCTTGAGCAAACGAGCTCCTAGACAACATGTAGGCCAAGTTCAAGCCCCATGACGGACCAAAAAAAAAAAAAAGTGGAGGCTTATAAACCTACACAGGTTATCCTGTTATTGGCATAGCCTCACCTCAGAGTGCCTAACACTTAGTCTTTGCTCTTAAGACAAACAATAGGAAGTCCTAAGAAAAGTCATACATTCTATAGTTGTAAAAAAAGAAAAAGAAAAAAAGAAGTTAAGACAGAAAAGGGTCATGGAAAAGCATAAGCAACAAAACACAGTAAAATATTATCTTTGAAATCAGGTTTGAGACTCAATGTGATCACGGGATAACCTTGGGAAAACTGTCTAAATTCTCTTAACTTCAATTTCCTCATATAAAATACAAATAGTGGAACTGAAAATATTAAATAAGAGTAGTCATTAAATAAGATACAGTGCCTACCACATATATACTAACCTCACACAGTACTTAACAAACACCAACCACTATTAAAACTAATACAATGGTCTCAACTAGAAATACTCAAAATCCATTTGCAGGCTGTCTCTGGAGGCATTTAGGTTGAAACAATGAAAAGGAACAAATAGAGAGGCTGAATAGCCTGTAGTGAAAGGGTAAAAGCGGCTTACCAAAATGGTTTATTTACAAACTGCCAGACCTGGCAACTATGCATTTTTTTTCCTGGTTCTAAAGAACAGCATCGTAGGTAAGAATGAACTACATAACATAAACAGCAGCAAACTGTTTCTTAAAATAAAATTCTTTGTTTTGCATATGAGGTACATATTTAGGTCATTTTTAGAATCACACTGTTCCTATTATACATAGTGTTCCTGACACAGGGAAATTAGATTCTTGCAGAGGTTGACTACTGGGTAACTAAAGGCAGGCTACTAAAGTAATACTAAAGTGAATGCTTTGGAATAAAGTGGGACCCATTACAAGACTATGGATTTTCATGTTGGTATACAGGAAAACTTTTGACCTAGGAAGGGAGATCTCACCATTCTGACATGTTCTCATCAGAGCCCTGTTTCTGTTCATCAGCTTCACACTCCATCCTTTCTTTTCTTCCTGTTTTGCTTAGGAAAGTCCTACTTTCTGCTGATTCACACAACCCGTGGCTTGATGAGGTCCAGGGAGTATTCTCCTTCCAGCGGGACAGGCGCTGCTTCTTAGCAGACTTGAACCTGCAGCCTCTCTCATAGCTCCAATCTGACACCTTCAACTTCTGCTGAAGGCTGGCAGCTACTTCTGATGTCACTCGCTTCACCTTCCGCCGGCGTCTGAGTGGTCGACAAGGTGCATTTTCAGTAAAGGAGTCAGATTCATGCCAAGAATGTTGCTTACTCTTAACTAGGGCATTGAGAGCTGGGTGTCGTTTGGCCACCATGGTATCATCTGAGTCACTGAAATTGGTGGCTGGGGCCACTTCTCGACAGTCCTTGATAGTCTCATCCAGACTTGACTCCGAGGCCTCACTGTAGCAGCAGGTATGCTCTGCCAGGTGAGTAAAGTCAGACCTGCGTTTCCGGCCTCGGCGCTTTCGAAGCTGCCGCCTCTGTTGCCGGGGACTCAGGGTCATCTCCTCCCACAGCTCACCAAGCTTATGCTGCTCAGATGTCTGCTCCAAGGCTGAAGCTAGATCATGTACCAGCTCATCCATGAGGCCACATCTGCCAAAAAGTAAAAAGGGAAAGTTCATAAGTGAAAAAGAAAACAAGAAGAGGATCTGCTGTTCTCCAATAATTTTATAGAGCAATCATGGCTTTGCACAATCCTCCCAGTCTACAGAAAATAGACACCTTTCATCTGACTACAATTAACACACTGTTCCTACCACCTATGTTCTCTTAAGCCACTAAAAATAGGATCTGGCTGAAGTCAACATGCCCTGAAGTACACAAAGTCAACCCCTTAATAGATAACAACTACTACTGTATCAGCAAAAACAAACTCAAGGGAATTTTCCAATTAAACTTGTCATTGAATTAGCTGATGATAAAATCCAAAAAGATTAGTAAATGCTCAGAGAAGAAGAGAAAATCACACAGCTCTAAAACCATAGGAGCGCTGGGATAACAGGGTGGGACTCAGTCACACTACAGTATTGACAATGGATGAAGGACTGCTCTGTTGTCCAGGCTAGCTAGTGAAAATAAATATATATGGCAGAGAACAGAAAGAGAACTTAGTGATAAACTTTGGGGAGGTTGGCTTTAAGTATTACTGACCTAAGTTCTTCCATGACCCAAGTTTGTATACAGGAAAAAAAAAAAAAAAGCCAAAGTTTGATAACATCCTAGTAGCAACTGTCATCTGAAAGTTACTAGAATTCAAACCTTACAGAATGTCATTTATGTTTCAATAACTGGCAATTTTTAGTCTCTTTTCTTCATTCTGATCATCCTAATTATGTGCTTTAGGGTCTCACAATCACATAAAAATAGAATATAATGACAGGGACATGGGAAGTCTAAGATTTCTGGCTAACTGCTTTCTAAAATGTCCTAATCATTTCCTTTAAAAATCTCTCTAGGCAAACTAGAACATTCTCCTCAAACTATTACATTTCAGAGGCAAACCTTTCAAGGAATAAGAATAGTAAAGGTAATTTTCAAGATAAGTAAGATAGTCTTACAACTAACAAAATATACACTAATTAGTACTTTTTTCCAAAACTCTGTTGAAACTATTTATGATCATAGTGAGAGCTTAAAGCTGTATGTGACACTTAATATAGTTCACATGTAAAAGTTTTTTTTCATGTGTGCGGTACTGGGGGTTGAACACAGGGCCTTACACCCTGCTTGTGTGCTCATGGCTGAGCCATGCCTCCAGTCTGGTTTTACTAGTTAACTGGAGATGCAGACTCCAGACCTTTTGAATCCTCCGGGTCTTGTCCTCTGGAACCAGGTGTGAACCACTGGCACTCTGTACAAAAGGAGTTTCTGAAACTTTCCCGCCTTGTTCCTATGTCACTCAATTCAAAGACAGACAAGTCCTCTGGTTTATATATCACACTTGTGGACACACCGAGCTCCAAAACTGCCACCCAAACAAAACTTCTCATAATGTAAACACACACACACACACACCACACATATGCCACAACCCTTTAAGCTGTTTAAGTAGTAGTTTAAAGTGTCACGGTTGGGGTTTGGAATCAGCTATCCTTAGACCAAAATAAACAAGTGGGAGCAGTAAGTCTAAGCCTCACTACTCCCTAATAAAGAAATGCTTTTAAAAAACTCGGGCAGAACTGCACAAACTTTTAACGTCGAAGGAGGTCAGCAAGCAAATCGACTGGTTGTGCAGAATCTTTTCTGGTCTCAAAGACTGCAATTCGAAGAGGAGTGACAGGCGAACCCCGGGGCCTTCCGCACCTCCAGGCTCGCTGGGGGCACCGAGTGGAACCGCGGGCGCGGGCACGCCCCCCCCACTCCCCTCTCCCACCCCTTCCACCCCGGGGCCGAGAGGTACGGCTAAGTCACTCCTGGGAAGCAAGTTCAGAAACTCCGACGCGGGGTCGGAGCTGGGGAGTCGGGGCGCAATTGCTCTTCGGGCAGAAACCGCCAGAAATCAAGTCCCGGCAACATGGCCACGTTAGGAGAAAAACGGTGTCGCGAAAGACTTCATCTGCCCAGCCCTGGCCGGGCCGCTCCCCGAGGGCCAGGAGGACCTCGGCTCGGGCCCCCAAGCCCTCCCGCGGCCGCCAGCCAGAAGGACGGAGAGACGAGCAGACGAGGGACCGTTGGCCCCGGGGCGACATCACCGCCCGGGAGGAGGGACCGGCCCTGAAACGCAAGGCCTCGCCACGCTCGCCCCTCCCGCCCGCCGCCGCGGCCTCGCCGCCCCCGGGGCCGCCCAGCCTCAGCCCACGGCCCCGATACCCTCTGCCACAGGCCTGGGACCCCGGCCACCTCAACGCACTCCTCCCCCTCACCCGCTGCCGCCGCCAGCTCCGAAGGGCGCCGCTTTTTGGGCAGAGTCTCCCCGCCGGAGTTTCTCTCTCTGACCTCATTTCCGGTCTGGGCCGGAGGGGCGGGGCGTTGATGGAGTGGGCGGGGCTGGGTGAGTAAACGTGAGGCCCGCCCACACCCAGCGCTTCCGCCCCGCAGCACACACACTTCCGCCCCCATGGTGGGCGGAGCCACGGGGAAATAAGGAAAGGCTCCCGGGCAAGGCAGCAGGCGGGCGTGCCTGTGGGTGGACGCTGAAGCTGCCGCTGCGGGAGGGCCTTTCTGGGGAGCTTTTAATAAAAGTTGAACCATTGGAAGTAGGGGTGATTTAAAGGATCAGTGTCAGGTCACCTCCATGAAGATTTTCCCTCGCTTGCCCACTTGCTAGAATCTTCATTCCTGCGTTTTCTTCAGCTTGGAATTAGAGGCAGTTATGTGTGAGTTTTCCTCCCCAAAGTAATCACTCATCAGCAAATATTTACGGTGCTTATCCCCGACATAAGAATATGCACATAAAACAGGCTTTCTCCACTGCCCCAGAGGGACAAGTAATGAAGGCCTAAAGTAATGAAGCCAGATCACTTACCTTCTCTGCCTGGTGGAAGTGTTTTGTTTTCGGACTTAATAGGAAATGAAGAAAAGCAAGTAATAGTGAAGCTCAGAGGTCTAGGCCAAGACTCTTTACAATGCAACTCATTGGAGAACATGGAGAGCAGTGGCAAAAGAGTATCTGGACCTAATTTTGCTGGCGACCAGAAGCAGGCAATAGCGGGGAAAATGAGCTTTCATGAAGCACCACAGCACCAGGAAAGACCTGCCCCAGAAATGCACAGAAGATTAAGTTCGGTGCTAACATGAAATACAGCCATGTATTGCTTCACAAGAAGGATGTATTCTGTGAACTGTGGTTAAGCAATTTCATGTCACCATTGTGTCTGGACACAAACCAAGTGGGTACTGGGTGATCACTCCATGTGACCCCACGACTCAAGCAAGAGATGTAAACAGTAGATGTACAAGGCTGCTGCCAGTGTCACTGGGCATACCATTTGACATAAACTTTGTTCTAAATAGAAAGAGTATACTATATGGTAACAACAAAAGATACAGGAAACATAGTTATTTACTGTCATTTCAAGAATTGTCTTCTATATAAAACTGGATGTGATATACTTTCATATGACTAGCATAACCTCAAACACATGAATAATCTGTTGCACTACATCTTTATGATGTCAACAGCACAAAGGATTTTTCAACTTCATTTAATCTTATGGCTACAACCTTATATAGGCCTCATTGTGGGCCAAAACATCATTTTTGTGTGTGTGCCAACACTAGGGCTTGTACTCAGGACCTCAAGATCTAGCTCAGCATTTTCCAGCTCACACTTTACCACTTGAATCACATCTCCAGTTCTGGCTTTTTTGTTGGTTAACTGAAGATAAAAGTATCTTATATTTGTTTGCCCAGGCTGGTTCTGAGCCAAAATCCTCAGATCTCAGCCTCCTGAATGCTAGGATTAGAGGGGTGAGACACTGGCAACTGGCTCAAAACATCATTTTGTGGTACATGACTATAATGGTCTTTAGCATCATTTTGAGCCCTCAATAGTTATCATACACTATTCTAAATATTAACATGGATTAACTGATTAATCTACAGAAAAATCCTATGACTAGATAATATTAATAAATCGTTTATTACGTAGGTAAGAAACTAAGGTACAGAAGGATTAATTAGCCTACTAAGAAATAAAACTAGTGTTGGGCACTGGCAGCTCACACCTGTAATCCTAGCTACTCAAGAGGCTGAGATATGAGGATCAAGGTTCAAAGACAGCCCGGCCAGGAAAGTCTGTGAGACTCTTATCTCTAATTAACCACGGGAACACCAGAAATGTCACTGTGGCTCAAGTGGTAGAGCACTTACCTTGAGCTGAAGAGTTGAGGGCCAGAGTTCAAGTCCTACAACCAACAAAAGAAAGAAAGAAGGGGGGGGAAGAAAGGAGGGAAGAAAGGAAGGAAGAAAACTAGTTAGCATTTAATCAGGCAGAGTGATCGAGGAGCCATACATTCTCTGAAAACTATTGCTAAAGATTGAGAGCATATGCCTAGCATCTTGCATAGCACACATAGGTGATATTTATTGTTATGCATATACTATTATGCAAAGAAAGCCATACCATGTATTTACTGGTAAGCCCATTTCACTAATTATCAATCCTTTAATAAAATGCTATCATTCTTATACAGATGCAGAAACTGAAGCTCAGAAATGTTAAATAGGGTCATACAACAACAGGTGACAACTTAACTATTATCTGAACTAGGCCTCTGATTACAGAAGCTACTCTGTACTACATGTTTTTCTCTTCATTGAGGAGGTATTTGGCAGGAGTTTCCTGCATTAACATCCATTCGTTAACTCAGTTAAGACATATATGTTCAATACCTGCCATGTTTTAAGATACAAAAGATGCATCCACAAACAAATACACAAAAGTCCCTGACTTTCCAATTCTGTTTATTTTTTTTGGGGGGGGGGATCCAGTCGTGGGCCTGAACTCTGGGCCTGGGCGCTGTCCCTCAGCTCTTCAGCTCAAGGCTAACGCTCTACCACTTGAGCCACAGTGCCACTTCCAGCTTTTTTCTTTTTGCTTATGTGGTGCTGAGGAATCAAACCCAGGGCCTCATACATGCAAGGCAAGC